ATCACGTAAATTTAAACTGAGTTTGTGGAGACTATGTGTATGTACATGCTTGACCATAGCCCATTGTTCCCCTTAGGGAGAAAACCCTCTCAAATCACATAGAATATACAAAAAATACACAGTCGCAGGTGTCTTCGCGACACGTGTCTCCACCTGTGGCACGTGAGAACAGGTGCCCGCAATTACAAGGGTTAGCGCAATGATTGAATTTTATCTGAACAGTTTACACTGATTTTTCTAAAATTAAAAGTTGTATTAAATCTTCTCTTACTACTAATTCCAATTCACGTGTCTTTATGAGTTTTACCGAGACTAAAATGTTAAAAAAATCTTTTATTTGTCACAGAATGTTCAATTTTATTACACAGAATTACACAAACAGTTTTTTTATTATTCTTTTGATACACGTTTCCAAAATGTCTATTATCGGGAAAATAGGTGTAAACCACAGCATACGTATTTTCCATATCTGGAAAACATGCAGGAAACTACAGGTTGATTGCTTCCATATCGGGAATATACGTGGAAACCACTACTGCATGTTTCCGCGGTTTCCCATATTGAGAAACTTACGGGAAACCACAGGTTGGTTGTTTCTATATCGGGAATCTACGTGGAAACCACTACTGCATGTTTCCACGGTTTCCCATATTGGGAAACTTATGGGAAACCACAGGTTGATTGTTTCCATATCGGGAATCTACGTGGAAACCACTATGTGGTTTCCATAAAATGGAAACTATATGGAAACTACTGATGTCACGATTCCCATATGTTTCCATCGGGTTTCCAAATTTGGGAAACCTGGCTTTTCATCCTGTGTAAACAAATTAAAATAAAAAGGAAATTAAAATACATATTTGAGTTTGTAACCCTTATTTTGATGTTAGAAAGCATAAGTATATCACAGGTTACTAATTTACGCAAGTAGTGCCATGTAAAAACACAGTTTTTTTTCATAAATATGTCTTCGGATGTATAAGGGTGGAATGGGCTGATTTTAGGGCATAGATGGGAAGGAGAGTGTCTGGGGGAAAAAAATTAAAATTTCAAATATTGAGAAATATTGCCTTTGAATGCGTAGTAGGAAGGGTGTAAATAGGCCATGTTTACCTTCTTCTCAAGGGGTAAGTTAAATATGCAGGGTATGGGGTAACTCACGATGTCTTAGAGGGACTTGTACACTATAGATTCTCCTTAGATTTGAAAATATTTTAAGGCTATAATAAAAAAGAAATCGCTAAATTTCAAGATAAATTTAATTAATTCTAAATAAAATTTAAATAAATTCCACATGCAAAAAAGCAGAAGAACGCGTGGTAGCAAAATAATATTGAGCATATTAAAGGAAATAATGCTATAATTATCAATGACATCCGAAGAAAATATTTGTAAAAGTATTTTTTTTTAGATCCACCTCCAAGATTCTGCCATAAATTGTCTCGAATCACTCTTAGGGGAATATCGGTGATTAGCGTTAATAGCACTTGTATTGAGTTCAGCTCAAAGCTAAATGTATGAAATTTAAAATGAACAGGGTGATTAATCCCCCCATTTTTGAAATGCAGAAATGTGTATGACATAAAAAAAATCATCTGAAGTTGTTTTAAATAGTATTTGTTACCCAGTATTTTAGTATATTGCTTTAATTTTAATAGCTTACAACTTCGATTCATCAAAGATTTCCAAACATCGATAGACCAATTCATTAGACAATGAACAGGCCTGTTATACGCGGGGGGAAGGTGTCAGGAAGGGGTGCTCTAATTTTTTTTTCCCAATTTCTCCACTTTTTCTGAGAATAGGCTTAAGTTTCGATATGTAGAAATTCATTAACGCTGCTGCCCTCCCCCCTCCTTTCATGCACACTATCTGTTGCTGTCAGGTCGAAATCGGATAAATTCCAAAAGAATTGAAAAGAAAAAAAAATCCGGCAACTTAGAGAGTCCCCCCCCCCCCCCCAAATAGAATTTCCAAAAACGTTGCTAGCTGTGGGCCTGATGAAGAATTTGTAGCAAACTTGCACGTAGAGCGATGGATACCATGCTTATTGTTTACAAACGCCAGGTTTAGGTATAATTATACACGTACACGTACATCCCAATTTGCGTCTGTGTAAACAGTAGCTTTCACACTTCGCCGCTCCATTGACCACAGATATTGCCATTACAAATGTTGTGATTTTGTTTTTCTCATTTATTTTTCTTTCATATTTCATTCTTTTTTTGTGTGTGGGTGTGTTTGTGTGAGTGTGTGTGTGGGGTTTTTTTTTTCAAAATTATCGGGGCGGCGATCGCCGCCCCTTTGCCGACGCCCCTGAAAAAACTAACTGCATTCCTACGCCTTCGAGTACGCAGGGCTTTAACGACGGCTTATAGAAAACACTACATGTATTTACTTATTTGTTTGTTTTTTAGGGGTGGGATGTGCTAATTTTTCACAATGTAAATTACCCTTTTATCTCTCATTTTATTTGGAAGAGGGGGCTCCACATGTATATATATATATATATATATATATATATATATATATATATATATATATATATATATATATATATATATATATATATATATATACGTTGTATTATTGTGTAATTTTACCATATATCTTTTTAGAAGTAAAATCTTGAAGTACAACCCACGACTCAATACATTTTCTGTTCTGAAAATCGTTTATCTTTTCCTGATACATTACATAACATTCACATAGTATTTAACTAAAGACAATTTCAGCAACTTTTTTTTATACGCCATAGTTAAACAATTAATACTATGGAACAATAAAATTATTTCAGTAATACATTGTAATAAGTGCATCTCTCTCTCTCTCTCTCTCTCTCTCTCTTGTTGTAAACTACTGAAGTATTGATATGACTTCGAAATTCCTTTAATATAGGGATAAATATTGTGTGGTATGTGATTATTCCGCGATGCTTTGGCTGACGTGTGGTTGATTACCAATTATTAAAGATAACCCAAAATCATATCTAAGAACGAAAAAAAGGTAGAACTTTCTAAATCTAACAAGGGGGGTTCCGAAAGGTAGCTTCCGAAAGATCATACACATAAAGAAAAAAGCACCGCATATAATACTGTGTCTACATCATAACGAAATGCAAAATCTACCGCACGGAATGCTAACAGGACCGGGCATAATATTTAACGATCAGCATCATCATAATAACAGAAATACTACATATAATGATGAATATACTGTGTATAATGTGAGAAGTACATAATATATTGTTGTGTTCACTGCATATAATGTTAGATCTACCGCATATAATGTTAAAAGCACTTCATATAATGATGAAAACACCTCATATAATGATAGATGTACATAATATAATGACACATCTACATCATATAATGAAAGAAGTACTGTATATAATGGAAGTTGCACACGATATACTGTAAAAACTACTTCGTATAATTAAAATAGTACCACATATAATGAAGAGAACACTGCATATAATGTTTAATCCTCATATAAGACAGTCCCGGCGTTCCATAAATTGAATCAAGTATTCATGACCATATGATAGATCAACGAAAACAAATGAGCTCAAGATTTGACATTAATTTATTCAATTCAATTGTTACTTTCAATTGCATTCCTAGTTCAAAGGAATCATTATACGATATAAAAATATTTGTTAATTACTTTGAATTTTTATTATGGTTTTATTACGATTTTGTACTGAGTACTTAAAAATAAAATTATTTTCTATATTTATTTATGTATATTTATTGTTCTTTGTGAGGATTTTTAATTTGACACAGAGAAAATGATGTAGAAATTTAAAATATATATTTAATTAATTATAATGCACAATATTCAACTTCCTGCATCATCTATATAGAAATCACTATAGATCTCATATATAATCATTCATTCTTTGCTAAAGTAATTGAAGAACAAAAGAACCCAGTAGGCCTTCATTGTTAGACAGCTGAGTATTACATGTATTCAATATCTTTAAAGTGTCAGCTACATGTAGTCCAGATAAAAAAAATGCTCTTCTACGGTTTAAATCAATACAATTTTTTTTTTTCATTTGGCACAGCCAATTTGTTCACCTTCAGTCAACAAATAACTTCTTAGATCATACTCTTAAAATTACCAATGGTCAGATGCAAATTTATTGTCAGACATCAATTTCTGCCTTATATCCCCAATATGAATCTGAAATTCTTTTTAAAATCCCTGTGCTTATAATTACGGCGCCGTACTCGTCCACAGATAATGATACCAAGCAGACTGTGGAACCCATTTTCAGCTTGGTAATCTGAGAAGAGGCAGATGAAGTGCCAGAGCCTATGGAGGAAACATAACAGACAAATCTCTTTAGATCGAAGCTACAATTTAGATGTGGTTATCAATAATTCATTAAAGCGACAGAAAAAAAAGAAACCAAGGGCTGTCATTTCCATGTTCCCTTTCTCGTACAGAAAAATGAACATACAATGAACACAAATCTCGGGGCCAATTTTCATTACTACTTCCATGTAAAACAATTTAACATTTATTAAGGCCCATCCTTATCTCAGAGGCCATGGCTTTTAAAACGTTATACATCTACATTTAATTGGCACACCTGTTACTGAGATGACTCCAGTATTTTTTCCCAATAAATTTTAAATTTTACCTTTGCATTTGTATGTACATGACATCTGACATGACCCAATCCTAGTCTTAGATGCCATGATTCAAACAAAGTTGAATGAACATTAGTCAATATAGAGGAAAAAATTAGCCCAACCTCTATAACTAATGTTTATCACTTTTTATTCACAAGAAATTTATTTTCGCATAAATACAGGAGACCCTCTGCTTGGAAAAAAAAATTCTCACATAAATTTATAATTCTAAAGATTATATACAAGAATATCTATAATAATATCTGGCTAAAACTTACTTGAGAAAATGAGTTGTTTTAAAAATATGGTGATCTACATTAGATGCAACAGAAATTATAATTATTTTGTGATTATTAGCTCAAGTATTTTTGAAATAAAGAACAAAGTCTTAAAAATTATACACCCTATAATGACGTGAAAGCTATTTTGTATGATTTGGTTTAAAAGAAAAAGGGAACAACTCTTTAAATCTATCCAAATTTTTTTGCTGTGTATAAAAACATCTAACTACATCTTAAAATTCCATCTAATAGATTTTTATTCACTTGCTTTCTCTTCAAGATAAAAAAGTGCACTAAAAAATGGGCTAAAAACACTGTCATGAAGAGTTATGCCCCTTTTTCTACAGTAATTCTTATTTTAAAAAAGTAAAGCTTTCCACTCTAGATTTTGTTAGAATTTCCATCATACAGTAAAACTCGGTTATAACGAAGTCACTGGGACCTGTGAAATTACTTCGCTTATGCTATATCTGTAATTCGTTATATCCGTATAAGAAATTCGTTAAATTTATAGCTGGGGATCCAAGAAAAATTTGCTATATCCGTGAATTCGCTATATCAGTGTTCTTACTAAACGAGTTTTACTGTATATTATTTGTGAATAGTACAGTTTACATTTTACATAATGATTTCTGTTGCAATTAGGTTGATGTTAAACAATGAATTGACTAGATACATGTATACTACATGACGGTACACTATATTAGAATGCTTTCATTTCAACATACTACATTCATGTACATGCAACTGTGGGTTTACTAATTGAGAAGACTGACTTTGATTCAACTTCAGTCCTCATATACACTTGTTGTTCTGTAAAATGCATGGAATTACGGACAAAGGGAAATAACTTCAGCAACAGAATGTTACATGTATCTCTTTAAATTGATGGGGACATTACACAGAATATAAATAAAATTTTAATATCTTAAATTCAAAATCAGAATATATTGCAAATTTACATAATACATGCATATTCATGTATAAATTTGATCACTAAAAAGGTAATGTGCATTGCACTAAATAGTATACAATATACATAGTTATGATGGTGAAGAAAATACCCAGTTATTTTTCTCAGCTACTAAAAAATGATATAACACTTTGAAATAAGCATTTCTCATCTTTGTCAATGTGGCATTTTAACTGATAACATTCTCCCAAATCTTCCCATACATGTACAGTGAGCTCATCTCCCTCTAAACTCTCGCCTAAATAATGAGATTGAATCTTACTGATTCCCTTCCCTAGATTCTCTTCAAAGCTTGGCAGGGAACCAGTTCTGGCTGCATGGTGGGCAGCATCTTTGGCATATCGGACATAAGCACTCCAGGTAGTATGGTTATTCATATCAGTGTCACTCCATGCCACTTTGGCTTCGTATATGCTTGTTTTTTCTGCCCTTGGAAACTTCTCTAGTTTGTAAGACTGAAAGTTTTTAGCTGTCTCTGCATACTTCATTTTCCACCATGAGGGTAAGGGCTTAGGTCGCCTGGTTTCAAAATCAATACTGACAACCTGGTTGATGTTGCTGATGAGGAGTTCATTGGTTTCTGTTTTCAGGAATGAGTGTGAATTAAAGGACGTGTTTCCAATGTAACCTCCTTTGACAGTTGTCAATAGTGTACTTTTAGGCACGTCCGGATCATACAGGGCTTTTGTGAAACACACTTCTGAAGTCACAAGGAATGTTAAACAGTCACTGGTCAGTTTTTCAAAGTCCCTGAATGTTCTGCCACTTTCATCTAATGGCTGATGGTGAACAAACATCCTGCCAGACACCACTAAGTTCATCATGTTCCAAATTTTTGGCTGCCCTAAAATTTGAAACCAAATAACAAATATTACAATGAATTCAATTGTATAACTTAAATTACTGTGAGTAGTAATGGCATTTTAATCTTTTCCTCATCAATGGAAAAAGTATAGCAATGCATGGTAAGTATGCTCAATGCTTTATTTTGATTAAAATTTCCTTTTAATTATAAATACTATAACTTAAATTGTTCAACAAAATATTTTGTTGTAATATATAAAAAATATATATATTTTTTTAAAATCTAATTTTTAGCCCCAAGTTTGATAAGATTTTCAATTATATATATATATATATATATATATATATATATATATATATATATATATATAATATATATATATATATATATATATATATATATTACAAATTAAACTTTTTCAACAAGATATGTCCAACTCTTAAAGAACCAGTCATCATTCAAAGACATGTTGTCAACTAATCAAAAGTTATACCTGCTGAAGCAACAAACCAAAGGAAGACAACTCATAGTAAGTGACAACGTAATAATTGTGTAGAAATACAATTTGAGAATTTTTTTTTCAGATTCTCAGATTCTTTTGCTGTGTCTTATCATTTTCACTGAGATTATGGGTTAGGAGGGAATAAATTTCATTCATTTAGTCCTTTACAATGTAATAAAGATTGACTTTTGTATAAGCTAGGACATAATTTGTTTATGTATGCCAAAGAAATCAAAGACACACAGACTTACTGGAAATTTAACTAGCTGGCAAATTGCAAGACTTGGCATTGATGCATAAAAATATTATTAAAATACCACTGAAGAAACTAAGACCACAATCATAGTCCAGGCCCCATAAAATTTTATTTGAATGATCTATAATTTTAGTATTTTACTGCATTATGAAATATGCTTTTTCTGTGTTAATAAAAATAGAAAAAAGATTATTACTTTTGAATATTTTTTGTGAGGGTCTATAAATTGTTTTATCCATGAGTTGCTCATTCTATGACTTGCCATGTTAATGAATTGTCTTAAAAAAAAAGCTGTGACAAGTTGAAAGAAACCCACATTCACAAACATGTAACACATTTATTATGGTACTGGACATGGCTCAAACAATTTTTATTCTGATTTAAAAAATCAATTATGTGTCAAGTATTTTCTTTTAAAGATTGGTTTAATTATCTCTCTTCTCTAACAAAGTAATTCAAACTATGCTTGTTTTCGTTTTAATTTGCACAAATAATGCACATGAAGATGGTATAAAGAAATTCGTATATTTCAAATACAAACACTGCATCAACATACACAGCTCTTACTCTTTTATGAAAAGCAGTTAATGATGAAAAAAAAAAATAATGCTTACTTTAAAAATTTTCTCCAAGGTTTTTTTTTCTGCCTGTGTAACTTTTGCAGAGAATTTATGATTATGGTAATTTACTACGTACATGTAACTACATGTATGTAGTAAACATGTGATGCATAAGTTGCAGTTTGAATATAATTACCATAAACATCGTAATCCGATACTGTAGGCCCTGGATGACTGACCACCGCTTCCACTGCTGTTTCATCAACTGAAAGAAGCTTGAATCCACAGTTCTTCAGAAAATGTCGAGATATCCTCCTAAAGAAAATAAGATTTTAACTTATTATATATATTCAATTGAAAATCATCAGAAAACATCTAGATGGTACATGTAAGTTTTAAAAAAAAGATTAGCATAATGGGTATATATTACAAACTGTACATGCATGCATATTTTACTTGCAAATATGTACTTTTACACCTTGGTCCTGTACTACCACCTGTTCTTAAAAAATGATGCAATATTTAGAATCAGGGATTTATATACGTCCCTGCTACAATATTATATAATTAAAATGCTGCATGAAAAAAATCATATACTGTACATATTATTTGTTTCTGTAATCTACTACATTTAATATTTCTTACAATTATCATTAAAGTCGTTTTGTTTACAAAGCACATCATTCTGGAATGATTTTCACTAAGATAGAATTCTGCTTCTGTTTAATTAAAAGAAAATCCTGTATAGTATATATGTATATTTACATGGACTTGTAGAACAACACACTTATGCACTCTTAGTTAGAATAATCTAACTGTGTCTCGGGACAATTAAGCCCTCACCACAAAACCGGGTCCGTAGGACAATATCATTTTAACGATAGAACGTTCTATCTAATGCACTCTTTAAAGCTGTTTTAGGTCCATTCTTGAAAGAACAAGTTATTGAAGTACATTCATTTATTTTATCATATCAAACTTTTCATACTTGTAACCTGGATTCCGAGCGACTGATGCCATCATTCAATCTTTTGCATGTGTAGGACGATGTTTGTTTGTAGGCCTAATAGTACACAAAAATAGTCGTCCGTTTTGCTTTTGGTCTAATTATACACTGTATCACGAGCCCGAACTACATGTATTTCCCCCCACCATACCCGATCTTTATCTTTAACCTAGCTAGCGTATTTTCGACATTTAACATGTTTAAACGCCGAGGCTGTGAAAGGTTGGTTTACATCCGGTAAGTATGAGGAAGGGACAGGGCTTAATAAAAGCAAATGTGAAGTTCTGAGCATCTTCCAGATTGTGAAAAATTAAAAAAAAAAACTAAATAATAAAGTCACTTTAAATGTTGTTTATGCAGAGTTTGCTCTTTAAATAATCAACAAGTCATACACCATTATAGTTAAAACTTTGGATAAAAAAACACAACCAATAAGCAGAAGAATAAGCCGTCAAATATTTTGGTTATAATTTTAAAATTAATAAACATGGCGGAGTTGCGAATTTCAGTGTCTTATTTATGTTGCTGTTCCTGACACTTTATTTACATGTACTAGACAATTAAGCTTAATACTATGCATGTTTTAAAATCACACCAAACCAACAGACATAATGGAAACTCAACAGGGTATTACTTGCCCCTGCAGTATCTTTCTTAAATTTAAGCAACTTTTAATCAAAGTATTCCGTAAGACGAACTTCTATTGCTATGTTTGACAATGTAACCTGTAGATTACAGTTACTGTAATATTGACATTTTCTTCTATATGTTTTGCAATGGATTTCTTCCTTAGTAAAGTAAACACGAAGATATTTTTTTTATTGAGAGATTATGGAATTCAAAGATATCTGTCTCTCAGACAAGAACAAATTACTATAATAGCTCTTTGAACTGAATATATGTCTCAAAAGAAGATTGTGTATTTTATTTTACCTCCACTATGTAAATTCAATGTATATACATGTATGCATCCACATCCTCAAAACGCCAGGGGTCCTGCATGAGTCCACTCGTTGCCGTGGACCACGGCCACGTCCCACGAGTGAACTCAGGACCCATGATGTTGTGAGGATGATGTACCGCATGCATAGTAGAACAATTCTAAAGTACTTTAAATTAAAGAAAATGAATTCCCTTGAAACTGGCCGTATATACCAATTAATGCTTATTAACATGAAATAAAATTGAAAGTTACATATGTGATATTTTGCAATACATGTATATGATATGTATATGCATCACATATTAATTCACGTTTTTTTTTATAAAGGTTGATGTATAAAATGAGTATAGAATTAAGAACTATAGAATATCACATTAGAATAGAACCTGATTATGAATGTATTGTCGAACGCTAAATTAATTATACATGTGCATGCATGTACAGCACTGCATCTGCACTTTTCCAAATATTTTTATAGTTATTATTAATTGTCAGTACGTGTCAAATGACCAGGGAGTAATAAATCCTTTACCTATGGTGTCCGGATAGGGCCATTTGCAAAAGCTCGACAGCGCGTTCAGAAAAACACGCCGTCACGCTATCACAAAACACGACATCACGCTAACACACAACTCGCCGTCGCGCTATCACAACATTGAACAACACGCTGTCACGCTAACACAAGTTCGCACAACAAGCCGTCGCGCTAACACAAAACACGCTGTCACGCTAACACAAGTTCGCACAACACGCTGTCGCGCTAACACACAACACGCTGTCGCGCTAACACACAACTCGCGACGGCGTGTTGTGTGTAAGCGCGACGGCGTGTTGCTTGAAAGCGTGTTAGTGCGACGGCGTGTTGTGCGAACTTGTGTTAGCGTGACAGCGTGTTTTGTGTTAGCGCGACGGCGTGTTGTGCGAACTTGTGTTAGCGTGACAGCGCGTTGTGTGTTAGCGCGACGGCGTGTTTTTCTGAACGTGCTTTTGAGCTTTTGCAAATGGCCCTATCCGGACACCATATTTACTAGTGATGCAAACTTTTTGTCCCTGGACCTCAGCAAAATAGGAAGCACAACTACTCGTGGACAGGATTGTCCCTCCCCAACCCCCACCCCTTGCAGTAATTTTTTTGTTTTGTTTATTTATTATCTCCGACAACTTCATCAATATGTATTTGTTTGAAAAATCAAATAATTATAAATCAGATGCAATTAACTTCTTTTCGACAGTTGTTTCACATATAAATGCGTGAAGTAACTGTCAAAAGAAAATGCATCTGCTGATTGAAAAAAGGGGGATAGGGACAACCCTACCCACGTGTACCTGTGATAAGGTGGGGTGTCCCTAAACTTGACATACATCCACCATTGTAATTTAATGTACAGTGGTGCTAATGGAAGACCTTACATATAATGACCTTGATAAAAACACAATCTTCATACTTAATCTTTATCTTACTCTGTCCCCATTTCGATTACCAGGATACACTGAGCTTTTATAGGGTACCATGACTGCTGAAAAAGTCCCCGTTGTTCCAATACCAGGAACTTGTGGATATCCAATGATAGGACTTGGGACCTTCAATGACTTTCAGAGAAGGGTAAGATCAGATATTTCATTTGATGATTTACATGTACCATGATCATGAAAACCAGGCTAACATTCCTCCAATGAAACAAGGCATATCTTAAAACATGGCGACATCCCTCTATAGTGTGCTCGGCTCCAACAGTGGTCAGTCTAAAACCTAGCTAGTTCCCTATCATAACGGTTACGTGTAGCACCATAACGTGGATTGAAATTAGACGATTTTGACATGCACTTTACGACAGATTAATCTTATGGATAAACATGTATGATTGAAGTTTAATGAACTTTTATTTTTTATTGCATTATGAATTCGCCCGAGTTATTCAGATGACCTGCTTCTACTGAATATAATTACGGGGCTAATTTCAACCAAGATTTTTTTAAAGCTATATATGGCATATCTGAGCTAAAAAATAAAAATACACATGTACGAGATAGAGTGTAGATAAACATTATATATGATATTTACGTTCAAATTAAAATTTTCACCGATTTTAAACTTAAATAACCCCACTTTTCTAGTTAAATTGACTTTAAACTGTGTCTGTTAATTATATGCGGAGTCGGTAGATAAATCGGTTATTGTTTTAAATTTCTAATGTCTTTAAAACATGATTGATTTAAATTGTGTAATTCACAGGGAAGTCCTATCTTTATATAAAGTAATACAACAAATAGAGAGATCTTTTTAATTTTAGTTAGTCTGAACTTATAAAAAAGTACGCCATATATTACTTTAAAAAGAATCTTTTGGAAATTAGATTTAGTTTGCTCAAATGATTATTTTTTTTTCTAAAACAATAGTTGCTCCATTTACTGATGTAACCGGTCTGTAGGCCTCTCAATATTGGTATAATATTCACCTTTTCATTGCTTTATTATATATATGAAAATTGATAATTAAACCTGGTTAGTCTGCTGCTGTATATATGAAACTTGTCAAAATTAAAGTTGATTAAAAACAATCCAATTCTTATTATAGTAATCTGATTGTGTCACTCGTGCCTACTTAAGAAACAACAGCAACAACTTTTTAGCTCACCTGAGCTGAAAGCTCAAGTGAGCTTTTCTGATCATATTTTGTCTGTAGTCCGTCTGTCCGACCGTCCGTCTGTCTGTAAACTTTTCACATTTTTGACTTCTTCTCCAGAACCACGGGGTAAATTTCAACCAAACTTGCCACAAAGCATCCTTGGGTGAAGGGGATTCAAATTTGTACACATGAAGGGCCACGCCCTCTTCCAAGGGGAGATAATTAAGAATTGGTGAAAATTTGGTGTCATCTTTTAAAAATCTTCTCAAGAACCATTGGGCTAGAAAAGTTGAAACTTATGAGAAACCTTCATTACTTAGTGTAGATTCAAATTTGTTCAAATCATGACCCCTGGGGGTAGGGTGGGGCCACAATGGGGATCAAAGTTTTACATAAGAATATATAGGAAAAATCTTTAAACATCTTTTCAAGAACAGGAAAGCCATGCTTATTCATATTGATATGGAAGCATCCCTAGGTATTGTAGACTCTAGTTTGTTCAAGGCATCCTCCAGTAGAAGGGTGGGGCTATAATGGGGGATCAGAGTTATACAAGAGAAGATTTATGGGAAATATCTTTAAAAATCTTCTTCTCAAGAACAACAAAGCCATGAATAGTCATATTGATATAGAAGCATCCTCAGGTAGTGTAGATTAAAAATTTTTGTTCAAATCTTGACCCCCCACCCCACCCACCCCCTGGTAGGGTGGCAGACATCTTTACAATTCCGTTTTCAAGAACTTTAAAGCCATGATTAGTTATATGAATATAGAAGCATCCTCAGAAAGTTAAGATTCAATTTCATTCAAAACATGGCACCTGGGGGGGGGGGTATGCCTAGGACAGGCGATCAAAGTTTTACATATGAATACAAGTATATAGGAGAAGAAATCTGCTGACGAGGAACAGCAGGGCCATATTGACTCAGGTGAGCGTTGTGGCCCATGGGCCTCTTGTTTTTCTGTTGTACCACCAAAAGGTAAATGATATAAACTCAAATATTAATCGAATTTCTAGAAAGTATCATGTCAAGTAAAGGGAACAGACCAATAGGGTGATATTAAAATAAAAACAGTGTTAGACTAATAAAAGTGTATCATGATGGAATCCAATGCTGAAACAAACTGTGATAGGTTTATTTCAGGGAAGCAACGATGACGTAAAAGAGGCTATAAAATACGCCATTGACTGCGGTTATAGGAGCTTTGACACTGCGTACGTATATCAGACCGAAATAATGGTTGGTCAAGTAGTCAACGATAAAATCAAAGAGGGTGTCGTGAAAAGAGATGATATATTTATTACGACCAAGGTATGTCTCAAAATATTTTCTTTTGGCATTTCTTTTAACACGTAGAAACTTTTTTGATTTGCAGTATTTGTTTATATTTTCAAATTGGTTTAAACTGTCTCAAAAAATTCTAGATAGAGTTAATTTGATTATACGAAGTCTAATTATCAACCCTTTTCAAAGCATTGCAAAATGCACTGCACTATTATAATAGTAATCACCACGTCCATACGTGCATCCCAAACACTTAATGTGACGTGAATACAAGAAAAGCAGACACCACAGTCACCCTTTTATTGATCTCCATTCTTAAGAAAAGAAGCAAAGCGAACCCTTCACTCAGTAACATAGAATTTTTTTTTTAGAAATGTGTAAGATGTTATTTTTCCCCTTTCTTACTTCCAAACAAACGAACATAGTGACACTCATAGAAAATTTGACAAAACTGACAAATTTTATGATTTTATTTTCTTATTTATGCTCGAAGCATTAACATGAATTTAAATACATTGTACATGTGTAATAATCATAATTTAAAAAGATATTATACTTCATTGATTTTTTTTTTCATAATTATACAAATATTTACCTCTGCATGTTTTTAAGTCTGAATAATGATGAATGAAAAATGATGTCGAAACACAGTTCGAATCATTGTGCTTTTTTCCTTCTTTTTTTTTTCTTCATTTTTATATTGTAGCTCTGGAATACACATCACAATCCTGCACATGTACGTGTCAACTTCTTTAAATCCCTCCAAAATCTGAACTGTGAATATATTGATCTGTATCTTATCCACTGGCCTTTTGGATTCGAGGTAATTTTTTCAAAAAAATTAAATTGAAGTACTGCATGTATTTTCTAAAAAAAAAAAAAAATAAATAACTTAAAAACAACATTGAGAACATAAAAAGGGTTCCTTTTTTAATTATAATATTAGCTGTTTTTAATCACTTAATCTAAAGCGGGCCCAAGAATTCGAAAAAGGATCTTATTTAAAAAATTCTTATTGTTAGCATCATAATCTTGTCGCAACAAAATTACTACGGCATACCGCTATTGTCCTCTACATTACATGTACGTGTACGTGCGCTTACCTGCTTACAGCTTGTGTATATGTGTGTCGGTGTATGCTTTCATATGTTGTGTATATGTTTGTCAGCGTATACGTTCATAACTTGTGTAACATGTATGTGTTTTGGTGTACATGTGTTTTTAACAAAACTTGCGGTAGCATAGTGCAATGATGTGGTTACTCGTCTTAATCCCCGTATCCCAAAGAAAATAATTTCAACAATTGAATACTGAGTTTAAGACCATAGGCACTCCCCAGCTTAATTTGTTAAAAATATATATCTACTATACTATAAATAGTTATGTTATGTTATGTTTATAGTATAGTACATACATGTATATATTTTTTAACAAATTAAGCTGGGGAATGCCTAAATCGATGTTTAAGACTGACCGCCAAACTTGGGTTTATTTGCTCATTTAAACGCGATTTGTCAGCGGATTTAGATATGGCTGTTTATTTCATTGTGATGGAAGATGAGATGTTTTTAATTTTGATCCAGGATGACGCGAGCGAGGCCTTTCCTATGGATGACAAGGGATATGCTAGATTTTCTGATCATGATTACATGGACGTGTGGACGGTAAGGTGGTATTTGGTAAAAGTAATTGCATATACAATGGAGAAAAAATTCTAAAATTTGACAGTCACTATAATCTGGTAATTTTAAAATATCATCCTTGCGCATGCACATTGGTTTCAAAAATATATCTTCTCTGATCCTGCAATAAGATAATTCTGGACTGTAACAGAAGGCAAGTAGTCCTAGTCCTTAGGATGTACATGTATGTTGTGTTAAAGTGACAAATGTCCTATTTTTCGTAGAAATCAGCCAGTAAGTATTTAACTGTTTAAAGAGTGCCCAGAGTATTTGTTTGTTGTACCCAGGTAACCTGCGGTGCAGCATTACACTTATCCTGCAAATTAAAAGATTTTAGCGATTGTCTTTTGTGGTAACTTTTGTTGTTCATTTTGTTGATACATGTCGATTTTCCATACGTGCAGTATTATCTCTCAACCCGGTCACTTTACTGATTTTCTAAAATGATGTTTTTTATAGGTTTATTTTGTGTAGATTTCTGCGCCCTACATCTCTCCAAAATTGTCAATTTCATTAATTTTGTAAACTCCTGCAGTGAACTTCAAAGGCAGTTGTTCCAATTTAAATCACACTGTATAACTTGTAATGATGCTTGGTTACATTATAACGACCATACTTTCAGTCCTTGTATTCTTTGGATATTGCCCCCCCCCCCCCTCCCACCCATCCCCATTTTTTTTAAATATGAGACGGAATGTTTGACATCGTTTAAAATATTTTATTTGCAAGGATATGGAAAATTGGTTGATTTTATTTGCAAGGAAATGGAAAAATTGGTTGATGAGGGTTTGGTAAAAGCAATAGGACTTTCTAATTTCAACAAAAGTCAAATTGAGCGTGTCCTGCAAAACTGCCGAATTAAACCCTGCAATTTACAGGTAAACAAAACATGTTTTAAATGAAATCTTTCTATTAAAAGCACATTGTTTACATATCTGTGTATACAATTTAATCAGAATTCTAAAATTTTAATATTCAGATTGAAGTCCACCCCTACCTTTCAAACAAGAAACTGATTGATTTTTGCTCATCAAAAGGAATTTCAGTTACCGCTTATGCACCGCTTGGGAACCCAAACAGATCTTGGTAAATTGATTTTATTGTCCCCCGCTTTCGCGAAAGCGAGGGGACATGAAATCTCATTCGTCTGTCAGTCTGTCTGTCTGTCTTTCTAGCTGTCCTTCTGTCACAAAAACTTTAACCTTGGTCATAACTTTTGAATGAGAAGAGATAGGGCTTTCATATTTCACATGTACATTACCTGTGACAAGACCTTTCTAAATATGCTTTGATTTTTGACCCCGTGACCTTTGACCTTGAAGTTTTACCTACTTTTCAAAAATTTTAAAATTAATTTAAATTGGTCATAACTTTTGAATGAGAAAGGATTGGGATTTCATATTACATATGTATATTATCTGTGATAAGTCCTTTTTAAATGTACTATGACTTTTGCCCCCGTGACCTTTACCTTGAAGTTTGACCTTCTTTTCAAAAATTTAATCTTTGCTTATAACTTTTGATTAAGAAGAGAAAGGACTTTCATATTTGACATATGCATTATCTGTGACAAGACCTTTCCAAATATGCAATGATTTTTGACCCCATGACATTGACCTTGAAAATTCACCTACTTTTCAAAAAATTAACATTACTTTAAATTGGTTATAAAATTTGAATGAGAAAAGGTAGGGCTTTCATATTACACAAGTTCATTACCTGTGACAAGACCTTTCCAAATGTACTATGGTTTTTGACCTTGACCTTGAAGTTTGACCTTTTTAAAAATTTAATCTTTCCTTATAACTTTTGATTAAAAAGAGATAAGACTTTCATATTTAACATGTATATTACCTGTGGCAAGACCTTTCCAAATATACTATAATTTTAGACCCCTTGACTTTGACCTTCAAGTGTGAACAAGACAGTTACTAGATATCCCATAAATAATGGCATCGCATCCACTAAGACACCAAAAGTGGGGGACCACAATTCTTTGAATTTGCTTGTCGATACATTGTTCTAGCTCACCCGAGGTCAAAGGTACCCAAAACCTTTTTCTTTGAAAACTGAACTAGAGTTAACTCTCTTTTGACAGAGCTTTTGTTTAGTTATGATGTTTCAAATTTATTTAAACCCCAAAGGGATGCTGATGAAAGTTTTTAATAAAAAAAGTCATCACTATCCTTAAAATGACAGTTACTTTTTGACTGCTTGTAATGTAGAAGAGACAATTGCAAAGTCTTACAATTCACTATACTTAAAGGGAGCCTTTTCTACGTCTATGTAAAGTCTATCTTCGTAATAAGTGTTTTCTATAATTTTTTGTCATTTTAATTTCGATTTCTTCCCCGACAAATGAGCCGTTTTCCGATAACTTGTCTTGATCCAAGGCAATACGATTATAAGTTGAAGGAATTCTGAATTTTTTTAAATGAAGGGTCTTACCTGGTATCATGAGAAATGATTAAGTAATGTTGACAATTGGGCTGTAAAAATGCTGTGTTCGGCTGTCCGTGAAAAATATACGGAACCACAGAGTCGACCCCCCCCCCCCCCCCGAAATTCCAAAGGAGTTTCTCCTGGAAACCTCGTGTATAGTTTGGAATTTGTTGACTTCATAGTTCAAAGATCTATAAAACTTTTTTTTCTTGATAATATATAATACACGTTTCATGTTGTTAAATAATTTTGAATTTACCATGTGGAGGTGAATGCAAAATTCCTCCACTATAGTAAATTCAAAATTTACATGTATGAATAGCTTAATTTTATACTTGTTTATTTCCAGGGCCAAAGGAAAGGAACCTACAATCTTCGAAGAACCCATTTTAAAAGAAATTGCAGAAAAGAAAAATAAGACCATCGCACAAGTAAAAAAAACGGTTTCCCTATTCCTTTATCAATCAACATGTCAAATATGCAGGAATGACTTTGACTGCGCATGCACAATCATTTACTCAACAAATGAGTTGTAATTCTACTTATATACCCAAGTGTGTATCACTCAATTTTACTGTAGATTTCGTACAATCACTTGACGGTGTGATCCGACTTTCCGGATCACCACACTGTGGTTTTCTGAATCCATATCACCCCTCTCTGAAATTGATGACGTAGTACACAGAAACGTGACGTTATTTTTCATGCGCATCAAAAAATTCCTTGACAAAATGCTTTGTTTAATAGGAAAATCTTATATAATTGATCTCAAAAGTTTTTTTAAAACTATATTTTGCTAGTTGTAAGGGGGGTATATAATAAATTTATCATTATAACAGTAACTTGATCCGAAGAGCCGTATCACGTCTCGTTGACAGGCGCGGATCATCAGATCAAACTCGACGCTTCGCGTCTCGTTTGATCTGATGATCCGCGCCTGTCAACTCGACGTGATACGACTCTTCGGATCAAGTTACTGTTATAATAATGTATATATATGTATCTAATTGTTTTGACATTTTACGTTTAAAAATATTTTATTTATCATGCATTGTTTTTTCAAAGGTATGTCTACGATTCCTGCACCAGAGAAACATCATTGTGATCCCAAAAAGCGTGACTCCAAAAAGAATCAAAGAGAATATTGATGTGAGATATTGAAGCTTTTATTTAAATACAGAAAATCCAAAAAGAAAAAAAATTATGGTCCATAAAGTTTATAAACAAATAGGTCTTAATCAATTAAAGTCTCAATGACAATTAAATTTTGTGATTTTTGTTAAGAAATAAACAAAATGATTCTTTGAAAGCAAATATATGTTTCAGATTCTGGATTTTGAATTGAATGATGACGAAATGAAAGCCATTTGGAGTTTGGACAAAGGATTAAGAGTTTTAGAAGAACCCGCGTAAGAATGCACAGGCCTATTCATAATCGTTGTTATTATAACCCCCCCCCCCCCCCCCCGCTTGAAAAGAGGAGGAGGGTAAATAGTGATCGGGGGGTGTCCGTCCTCAAGTTCGTAAGTCCGTCCGTTACGCTTGGGGGTAAACATCCCTTATTCGCAACTCCTATCACACTACTGAATGCAATTTAATAAGATATTCACAGAATCTTCATTATATAGTGCCATTGTGCACTTCCTATTTTATGTTTCGATCGAACAGATATTTAGGGTTTCCCATAGCAAAACTGCTATTCTTTCTATAAAATTGGGGGTACCCGTCTTTTATCAGCAAATCCTCCTGTACAATTGAATAAAAATAATAAGACTTTCACATAATCTTTATTACATATTACACCTCCTATTTTATGTTCTGACTGTAGCAAAACATGGACTTTGTCCTTATTCTCATATTGGAGCCGGGGGGGGGGGGTATCATATTGTAAGCTCAGTAATCACAGTTACTGTATCTCTAGTTTGTTTTTTTTTACACCTGAATATTAGACATTTCCCTGTACATGTAAAATGAACCTGATTTACAATGCAAATGGTACAACTCATTTATTGAATATATATTAACATGTATGAGTTAACGCTTTTTTTAAACAGAGCCAAATGCAGAGGTCACAAGTATTACCCTTTCGACGATGAATATTGAAAGCAATGCTATGCAATTTGGCCATTGGTGCATCAATGTAGATAGAAGTCAAAGGAGTCTCCGCATCATCTCTCTGTCATTATTTAATGAACTTTTTTTAACCAAATATTTTTCCTAAACATGAGGCTGTTTTTCTTTGTTTGCTTTAATTTGTTTGTTTGTTTATTTTTTGTTAAAGCAACTTTATATATCCTAGTGTACTGTAGCTGATGATTGTCTATATTTTTCTAATAAACTGTGAAACTCAAAATGGTGTTGGGATAATTTTACATGTCAGAACTTCATAATTCATTCAAATACATATACAAATGTTTCAACTACTACAAAACTCAGTCGATAGAGCGCTCGGTCCTCCAAAGGTCGTGGGTTCAAGCCCTGGTGTAACGAAGAATTTTGATCTGGTTTGAAACTGACCCAAGGGATCATTTTTCAACGTTGAATATTAAGAACAACAATGTGGACTTTAGACCCTTGCCAGTGAGCTGCATCGTGGAATTTTGATCATCAACCCGGATATAAATTCAACGCCATAAAATAAATTGTAATATAATGGAATGATGTTCACAATTATGATTTTTTACTTTAAAATATTATATACCTTTGAATTAATATTTTGCTTAATTTATTTTTATCCTTTAAATTTCTTGAACATTTTCTAGGCCGACTATTCAAACCGTCGGATGATGACTATGGAGATGAGAAACTGTGTTACCATATTTGTCAATCCTTAGAAAAATAAAGCATATGGCAGTAGCTGATCAGAAATTTCAAGGCGGTTGGGGGGAGGGGGAGGATAGTGGATGGATCGTAAAAATATTTCATGGAAGGGGGGTCAGTTTTCATAGACAGGCTTCTTCCCTTCAAATATAATATGACTTTTCTTTCTAAGTAGGTGAATTTGTGTTTTCGGGGGGGGGGGGGGGCATTTTTAGGGTATTTTGCTACTAGTAATTTCAATAACTCTTAATATATCACTCGGTCTCCAGACCCTTTTTTTCACATGTATGTTGAATTTATATATCTATTATCCTAAAATCAAAGGAACAAAAAAACCCTCTTATTTGTAAGAATTCGACAGCTTCCGGGTGCTTCGCCCCAACCAGGGCTTTGCCCTGGACCCACTGGGGGCTTCAATGCAGCCTCAGACCCCCCTGCCTTTTACTGCGCCCCTCTTTGTGAAATTCCTGGATGCGCTACTGAAAACTACATTGCCCTTACTGATAACTAGGTAATTTTTTGCTACAAAAGAATCACGAAAACACTAGAAAAGAAAACAAAAATGTATATTTAGGTTGAAGAGGCATCTTATTGAATATTTCTAATTTTATTTTTACTTGCCTTTGATAAATGAGGTTGCAATTAATATATTAACTTTCAGAAATTCTTATTACATTGTGAACCAAAATATAATCAAAATTTGTATTGATCATTTGGGAACATTCTCTTTTCCTTTAGTCTGGTGGATGAACCCGCTACTCCGTGATCACTACATTTTTATACATATTCAACATCTTGTGTAATCAAGGAAATTTCGAAATCAAAATTGTTTCTTAGATAATTGTAGGGCTATACCGGGGTATATCAGCAACTACACTCCCCTGGACTTCAATTAGTTCATAAATTTGTGTATCTTACATCAATGGCATGTTTGATATTCTGTGTATTTTACTTTACCAAACATTTCAATATTTGACATGGTTTGTCTTATTCATAACCTTGGCGTCTATGCTAAGCAAGGTTTAAGGATGTACAAATACAAGTCATTTGCTGCATACTTTGAAGCCAGGACATGTACTTGTATGAATTACAATAAAAAATGAATTAATGAGGCGATTTAAGGTCAATCTAAGCTAAATTTACTTAACATTTCGCGCATGTTTCCAGAATTATACATTGCTACACTTACAAAGATAATGATATAGGAACTTGGATCGCTAAAGGTTTACAGCTTTCAGGTGAGCATTACGACCTATGACGTACTTGGTAATCTCTGGAAGTTGCCTCATTGATGAGTAAAAATGATTAAACATCCGCAGATGTACTAAGTTTACAATATTCATACACATTCTTGTAAATAATAAACACCGGACAAGAATACTTTATTGGAGAAAATGGGCAGTGATACGTGTGAACTGGAGAATTCTGAGACTCTTTCTCCTACTCTTCGATAATTTTTCATCCTTCAAACTTCGTCGCGAGTGTGTGCGTTCTTTATTTTGTAATTTATGTATTCGTTCCCTAATACTGCCCAGGTGCTTCCAGAGTTGCGATATTACTGTTCTTTAAGGTTAATATATTTACGATGACTTAGCCACCTGAGGAGTAAAAATTCACCGAGCCCGAAGGACGAAGTGAATATTGTACTTTTTCAGTAGCTAAATTATCGTTTTGACTGATAAAACAGCAATAAATGTTTTATTATATTCAATGATTAAATGATTCAAACTCATTAAGCAAACCATACAATCTCTCTTGTTTATGCTTAAGTCCTAGCCAAACGTAGCGAGAGAAGCTTGGTTAAAATAAACATAACCAGTGGTATTAATTTGAAATCTTTTTATCTATTTTAGGTGTGATGTAGAAAGAATAAATGTCAGGCACGCAGCGTCGATTTTGATACAAGGGATGCTTTATTTACATTCAGAAAAGAGTGGGGAGCACGCCCCCCCCCCATTCTATGTACCTGATTGTTACATGTATGTTCACCTGAGTGGAAGTCGGTTGCAGGTGAAACATTGTGTCAGTTTGGAAGTTATCAATCTATTTTTAGTCCAATGTAGAAAAAATAAATCATTGTGTTTACCTACAAGGTCACGTGCAGGGGAACATATTGTAACATTTTTTGTTCTACAATGTTGAATCTCAGCCAATCAGAGAGCTAGGAATTATTCAATCATAATAGAGGCTTTTAGTCTGACCTATATCAACACCAATCTTTTACATTCAAATACTTTCGGGAAAAAATATATATCTAAATTGGTAAAAACATATTTCCTGGCATGACATGGGAATTGGACTAAAGGGAAGGATAAATGTACACACTTTTTACACATAAAATTATCAAAAGGGACACCTTTGAGCTTCACAGTGACCAACTGGGAGGGAATAACTTTACTTTCACCTTAGATGTAAATTTAAGTCTAGGAGAAAAGACCCCCACCTATCTCTCTCTCTCTCCTAGTCTTTCCTGCATATGCAAATTGTAAGCAAATGCTGATTTTTTTATTCATTTAAATATTAACATTAAATACATTGGGAAAAAAAACCTGCAAATTTAAAGAACATCATTGTTTCTTCGGACATTCCATGTGAACTTAACTTTCGCTGCTCGGACAATTGGCCTTATCAATGTTTACAAAAATCGGGATATCCGAAATCTAACTGAGCTTTGCAAATATTTGAAGATATTCTGCCAACGAAACGTACACACGTGTAGAAGAATTGAAAGTCATATAATCCTTTCACGTTAACCTGCCCTTGATAGAGTGGACGACTATCTCTTACACTATACAAGTCTTACGGCGTCCCAATCTCAGTTGTTAAAGTGCAGCATGGCGGCTGAAAAAGTTCCCGTTATTCCAATTACAGGAACTCGTGGATATCCGATGATTGGACTTGGGACTTTCACCATCTTTGAGAAAAGAGTAGGTTACTTTTTTGAATTTAAATTTTTGGTTGATGAAGATAACTGAGGAGTTTTATCTAATTTTTCAATTGAATGCTGTATAAAACGTACGTCTTCATTCAGCTGCATATAGAACACAGGCATATTTGTTTATCAGCATTTAGATGTATACTGTGCACACGTGTTCATTTCAGGGAAGTAACGATGAGGTCAAAGAGGCTGTGAAGTGCGCTATTGACTGTGGCTATAGAAGCATTGATTGTGCTTATGTCTACCAGAACGAGGCTTCAGTTGGTCAAGCTATTAGTGATAAAATTAAGGAGGGTGTTGTGAAAAGGGAAGATTTATTCGTCACAACCAAGGTATGTTAGATCAATATATAAAAAAAAATCCTTTGAGATTTTAAAACTGGTGATCATGTTGATATTTTTTATATTTGAAGTTTCAGATTGTTTCATGAATGTTTTACAATGATGCACAGAGATTTGGTTAAATGTTGAATAATTGTATTTTGTTTCAGCTTTGGGATACACACCACAACCCAGCACATATTCGAGAAAACTTCTTCAAATCTCTGAACAAGCTTGATTGTGGATATGTGGATCTATACCTCATGCATTGGCCTTTCGGTTTTGAGGTAATTTTAAATAGAAGTTAACTGAAGTAAATTTTTAATCTAGAATGAAAGGAACATTTTCTTAAGAATGAATTGTTGAAAATTTTAATTGCAGACAGTTTACTTTAAATGCATTAAATTTTGAATGATCACATTTGACTACAGAGGATACATGTATCTTGTTTTGTTTTTCAAAGAACTGTTCGAATTTGTGTTAATTAAATGCCTTTTCTCCCAGGATGGCGATGTGTGTTTTCCAATGGGGGACGATGGAAAGGCGAGATTTTCTGACCATGATTACTTGGACGTTTGGAAAGTGAGACATAATATTCAAATTTTGTTCCCTTGCCTGGTAGACTTAGTGTATCAATTTAAGTCATACATAACAACAATATTGAAACACATACATGTAACATTTAAATGTACAACATACATAACTAATTATGAGTAATATACAGGGTGTTTCATTATATATGAATCTTCAATTTCACAAACACAAGAGAAGATATGAACAAGTGTTTTTATCGACTTGATGCATGTATCTGTAAGATTCATTATGTTCAATTACCAACTAAAATATTACACATTGGACGAAATCTCAAACATCAATGAAAATTAGTGAAATTTCTAAATTACGTCATTTTTGTTACGTTGAATTTCACAACGTCAAAAGCCCACATTACATGTTCTTAATGATCTCCACTATTTCAACTACAAATGAAAGTTGCTTCTCGAAATTCTTATCACCTTGTCACACATTTTTGCTCAGACACTCCTCATTTGAGCTCTTTAAGTATCTGCAGTCTAGGATTGTAGACCCTGTTCCTAAAGAACCCCTACAGAAAAAGGCCCAAAGATTGAGAGGTCAAACTATTTCCTTTGGGTATTGCATTATAGAAAAATTGTACGCTGATAACTTCATATCCTATTTCAAACTTCAATATATATGCTGGAAAACTGATATTGCCAGCATCAATTTCTGAAAAACATCTATCTGACACTTTTCTCAGGAGTTTGATAAACAATCTCAGCGTCTACACTTCACCAATGAAATCTTCGATTATTGAAGTCCTTATGCTTTCTGGAGCACCGTGTCATTTATCGCATATTGCCCGTCCCTGTCCTTTAACCTTGTTACTAGCCTTCTGATAAGCATTCTAAAAAGCTTCCATTCTTTTGGAATATTTCCTTTATCAACCTCTGAATGAATATTGACGACATGTATTGAAAAACAGCTTTACAATTCAGCAATATGTTGATAAATTAAGTCCATTTCGAAAAATATTCAAATTATGAAATCGGCGTTTACGTCAGAATTAATCATTGTGATACCATGATTTCCTTGACTTTTTCACATGGAATAATATGTAGGACTTGGTGTTTAAAATGATATATGGTTTGTAATAGAATTATGATAGGTAAGAAAAATAATTAGATTTTTAAAAAATGTAACATATATTATGAAACACCCTGTACATGTACATGTGCCTATAGTACATATGTACATATGTATTTACATTTCCAATGTCTTTGTCCGAGATAAAATTTCAAATAGTAAAAATACTTTATTCTTCATACATTGTAAATCTACTGGTTCATCGATAGGCGTGGTGAAAAAAAAAATCACGTGCGAGGCGGGACAAATAGAGACAGAAGCGGGGCTTGTAGCACGTGAATTTGCAGAATCAAGAGCATGTAAATATAAGGAATAACTGTTAGATTTTTTTGGTTTCATGACGACGATCAATCGATTGGCTTGCGTGATAATTTTATGCATAAACGCCTTCGGCGATTATGCAAATAATCACGCAAGCCAATCGATTGATCACATCATGAAACCAAAAATTAGACAGTTATTCCTTAAATAAATGTTAAAAAATGCGAATCTCAATTTTCCGTAATGCAAATTAGGTTAGAACTTGATTAACTATTTAATTTATTTTGCACATTACTTGTGCAATGTAATGAATATATGTTTGTAGTTGAATAAAATCATGAAAACTTATTGCTATCAATATTAAATAAAAGCTTGTTAATCTATCAAAGTCTAGTTCTAAAATCATAAAAACCTGAGATTGTTTTTCTTTTCTTTTTTGTGGAAATATCTTTAACATTAATCCAATATCTTTAACATAAATCTAATGAAACGTTTTGTATCAATTTGGTTTATCCATGTTGTTTAAAAGCTTACATATTCCTTAAACATTATTTTCAAGGAAATGGAAAAGTTGTTTGATGAAGGTTTGGTAAAAGCAATAGGACTGTCTAATTTCAACAGAAGCCAAATTGAGCGTGTCCTACAAAACTGCCGGATTAAGCCAAGTAATTTGCAGGTAAATAAGCAAAAGTGTTTATTGATACATGTTTAAAGCCTGGCCGTAAAAATTAATTTTCATATTATACACAAGTTCTTATAAAATCAAAATGTATGATACACTCTGCAGCCCCCCCCCCCCCCTCCACACACACACAATTAATTTGAAACATTTTCCATTTTAAACTTTTATTCAGATTGAAGTCCATCCCTATCTTTCAAACAAGAAACTGATTGACTTTTGTTCTTCAAAAGGAATTTCGATTACCGCCTACGCACCACTTGGAAACCCGAACAGAACTTGGTAAAATTAATTCATATATGCTTAAAATAGAAACAATGGCAATTAATTCATTGTTTTGTTTTGTTTGTTTGTTTTCGTTTATTTTAGTTATTTGAAGGTACTGTATAGAATCCATGAACTCTCTCATCGTTGGTAATCCACCGGTTCCTATCCGTTCACATTTTTAAACTACCTGTATAAAAGGACAGAAAGTCTTGGATTATAAACGATGACATTTTAGTCAAAACATTTTTTAAGCATGATTTATACAGCATGAAATTGACATTAATTTGAATTTGGACATAAAACTTTTAAGATTTGACTTCATTTACATAGTGACTGTTTAAAGGAATGTTGACTTGCCTTTCATTAGTGAACGATGTATTAATCAGGCATTAGATTCAGATAACATTAATTTTATTTTAAAATCTTTTTTTAATGAAGAGTTACCTTATTTTACAAGTGTGGTGATATGTATTGTATTTAATGGGTTTTTTTTTTGTAAGGGCGGACAGTAAAGATCCAATTGTCTTTGATGAACCTGTTTTGAAAGAAATTGCACAAAGGAAGAAAAAGACAATTGCACAAGTAAATTTATACACATCAAAGTGTAACGATACCTTTCTTCTAATTTAAACTTTAAAAAATGAACTTTTTAAAGTTATTAAGATAGATATTGATTGTAATTGACTATTTTATTTGTCTTTTGTGCACTGTATTTTAAAATTACCTAAAGTTTGCTTTTTTTCTAGGTATGCCTAAGATTTCTGCTGCAACGAAATATCATTGTCATTCCAAAAAGCGTGACTCCTCAAAGAATCAAGGAGAATATTGATGTAAGTTATGGAAGCTTTGAAACAAAGTTGTAATTCCTATGATGTGTTAATGAAATTGGTTACTTGTATCAGAGCGGTCTCATTTTAAGGAGAGAATTTTCAATGCACAGCAAGTATTTTGTACGGTTTAAAACGCAGATTTTGGTGCTAGTAATTCTTTTTATATGTTCTTAACGGATAAGGGTTTAGTTTTCCATATACTACCTTATATAAGCTGATTTTGCCATGATTCTAAAGACATTTTTTTTCTTATAGATCCTGGATTTTGAATTAACTGATGATGAGATGAAAGCTATTTGGAGCATGGACAGGGGAAAGAGATTCTACGCAGAGAGCATGTACGAATGTTACAATAGATACATAAAACATACATAGATTTATTACATTTTCAACAATGAAATACTGTGATTTATTTATTGAATAAAAGTGATATTCTCTCACAGTATGAAAGTATACCAAAATGATATTCTCTCACAGTGTGAAAGGATATCAAAGTAGGTAAAAAATAATTTCTGGCCTGTCATAAGACAGAGATAGTAACTAAGCATCTTGATAAAGCTAAAACTGCAAATTTCTTCCCAGATATGTTGCTAAAATCCATGCTATGTAATGTTTTCAATCACACAACTGCTAAGCTACGATCGACGTCTCAACCGCTCAACTATGACGTCAAGCCTATGACACTGTGTTGAGAAAAGACGGAGGCAAAGGGAAAATCAAAGAAAATGTAATAAACAGAAAATTCAATGTTTTGTAGATGAATATGGAATTTATTTCACTCGTGAGACAGGATTTTTTGATATTTTCACTCGTGCTTCGCACTTGTGAAAATATCAAAAAATCCTGTTCCACTCGTGAAATAAATTCCATATTCATCCACAAAACATTGAATATCCTCTATATATATATACATAAACATATAAAGTACCAATATAAACTAAATTTATCTAACTTAACTTGCTCAAAAATATATTCAGTATTTGATTTACTATTACATGTATATTACATTGAATTAGGAATCAAATTAGAACTTTTATTTATTGTCGCTTTCGACGTCCTCAAAACATTGATTTTCAAGATTAATATTTGTTTGTTATTATTACTTTTTTTTACAGTGCCAAAGGTCATAAGTATTATCCATTTGACGATGAATACTGAAAGATTTGCCGCGTGTGTAACGTTAAAGAAGATCATCGATCAATTCAATACTTGTCTACTTATAAACATGTATATATCTTTATAGGATTATTTGTACTATATGTACATGTATATCACAACATAATAAAGAAAGTAGCAATTAAAAGATTTTATAACGGCGACAAGCTGTGTTCATAATTGAGTTGCTTTTGCACGTACACTGTATGTACTTAAAGGCATTAATGGAAGGACTTGTTTAAATGGATAAAGATATAATTGCGTATTTATTTAAATAACAATTTGTTCAACCAATCATGCAGATAAATGCATACGTTGGGATATGTTTAGCTAAGTAAAACGAAGACTGGAAAATACATAAAACCTACTTTTCTCTTGAAGACATTTTATTTGACTTGAAAGTATGTTCAACCTGACTGTCGTGAAGAAAGTGTAATGTGCCGCGCATCTCTAATTTAAAAAAAAAGTTACATATATTATCAACAAATGACAGGGAATGATTATTCAAATCAATTATTAATTCCATGTCATCCTATTGGTTTTGTTTAATTGAATATATATATATATATATATATATATATATATATATATAGATAGATAGATAGATAGATAGATAGATAGATAGATACATGTATATGATATACTGTATTGTCCTGCTGTGAGCAGAAAGTGAAACATTTTTGCGAATTCACTTCCGCCTGTGTTTGAAACAGAAAAACGGTAAATTCTGTATTGAATTTATATTCTTAAAAAAGATCCCTATGTTGCTTTATCTTTTTTGCTTGGTAAAATACTTCATTGGATTCCATTACTAAGCCTTGAATTGGTAAATAAATATAAATTTTCCCCAAGACGTACCTTCTTTACGTTATTAGATTCCTATCGATACATGTAATTTGACTTCCAGCTTTTGAAATATTGCCCTGTTATCGGGTATCAAAAGAAACAAGCCATTTAATTTTTTTTTAAAAGAAAAGATATGATGCACTGACTAGATCCCTTTGCCGGTCACGACATGATACTTATCACAATGAACGTCAACCGAACAAAACCTATCCGCTTCATCAGATAAATTAATTCTGGTTAACATAGCACAGCCAAGTCCTTCAGTCATTGTAATATTTGACGGTATTTTGAAACATTAAGCATGCCAATTTACTGAAGTTTTCATCTCTGTCCTGTCGAGGTAAATCAGTAAGTATTTTTTTTTATTGGTTCTTAATCTATAATTCGAAAGTGGGCTTAACTTTTGGGGGGTTAAATTCATCCATTTACAAAAGTTAAAATCTCATAATATTTTATTTTAAATACTAGATAGAAAATTATGGATAGCTATGCAGTTCATAATTTGGCACCAAGAAGAGACCCAAAATCACCTAAAAGTGGAACAAAATCACCGATGCTATTGGCATTGAAAAGAACTACTACTAGGGCCAACATTACTCCAATATTAATAGAGGATTTGGACGATTTTGGAATTAACCATCAAGATGAAAGTGAAAGTAACAAAACTTGCGTTCTTTCCCCAAGAACTGCGTTTGAATTCAAGTTGGGTTCAAATTTTGGTGACTACAACCTTGGGGGTATTGTGCGTGTTCGAAAAGAAAAATTCGTTATACTAGACTGTGTTTCTGGAAAGCTCAAAATGTTCAAGAGGGTCACAAACAAAAACAATGAGCTGCAATTTCGTTGTATAACAACTTACAATCTATCAGATCACTCACTTGGTGTTGCGGCTGTGAAGGAAAACATGATCGCTGTGACGTCTGAAAAGAAGATTCAGTTTTTCAGGGTAAGGAGATCCAAAATTAAATGCTCCCCAACAACTATAAAAGCGCCATCTAGGTGTTTTGCCATAACCGGGTCATCAACTAAAGTGTTTTTCATTGGCCAGATCACAGATTCAAAATTTGGTTGCATTAAGTGTTATGAAAAAATCAAAGGAACATTAAAATCACACTGGAAGCTAGACTTCATCGTCGAACGACCATTCAATGAAGATCTTTCGATTAACTCCTCGATGGTAGCTGATGTAGAAGAAGCCACGATATATTTCACAGACCCTTCAAGCAAATTTCTAGCGTCGATGTCCTTTCGTGGAGAAATGATCAGAATCGTGCGTTTTGATTGGACACCCAGAGGTCTGGCAGTGGTGGGGGATTTCCTGATTGTAGTCAACGATACTAATCGTTCTCTCTGTTTGATGAACAAAAATGGACAACTGTTGAAAATCTTGATCAGCAACCTTCACGAGAACCCCTCACATCTATGCTATAACCCGATAAACCAGGAACTGTTTGTATGTGCTCTTCGCTCGCAAAAAATTCGTGTTTATTCAGTAGAGGCAACAGGAACTGCAATGGCTTCTAGCGAATGTTAACTACAGTTTCGTACAGAAATTGGAACAGTTAATCCACAACAAATACATATGGTCTTTTATGTGCATCTGCTGAATTGATGAAACACACTAAATTTAAAATCATGCCTTACTTCCTTTTTTCTGTTGTGCCCCTATTTCGGAAACACTGAATGTTAAAAATGCTAAATAGTTTAGACATATTAGGCAAATTATGCCAATTTGATTTAATATAAAACTTGGTATTAAATCGTAATTGTACGAAAGGTTCACATGATTTGATTAATTTTCCTCAAGGCTTCATCAAGTTGATTGACAAGTAAATTGTACATGTATTTCTCTCAAATGATAAAAAATGAACAAAAATCATAATCCAACTTTAATTCTATACAAATGCTGTTGTTTTTATGATATATAAACTACATGTATAGTATGATGGTACAGGAATTTATTTTAGCACAAGATTTATCCACATATAACTCGACTGGCACAAAGATTATTTCAGTGCATATGAAAAAGAGTAAACAATCATGATTTTCTTCATAAATGGATGCACAATCATGGGCATTTCATATAATATTGTTTCCTCTGGCAATGATTTATGACAATTAAACATTTTGTGTACTCTGGTCAAGAAAATATGATGCAATAAAGTATTTTAAATTAGATTGTGCAAACATTGTACTAGTTTGTAAAATGGTCAGACCGTTTTTCTTTTTAGAAAACTGACTGCTGTCCATGGTATTTGTGTCAATCTGTGTGATAAGGTAATTTTATCGTGCTGTAATAAACTATCATGAAAAGAGTCTCCGAACAAGAAAAAGAAATTGACCATATCAGCTGTGATTCAATCAATCAAAATTTGTAAACAAGCATAAATTTGAGTTTTATATTTTACCCTGTGTGTTTTGTCAGGATTGTGTCTTATTTTTGTTTAATGTAAATATTTTGTAGTACTAGTAAACGATACAATGAAATATTTTGCTAACGTATTTCAAAATATTATATGTTATGTTGTGCAATCATATGAATTTTGATTTCAGCCTTTTTGTGGAAAATCATGTGTTTTAAAGCTTTATCAATTAGTAAAGTTCTTGAACTTCTCTTCTTGTATAATTGCAATATGCCTTTCAACTGGCCAATAGGTACAGGGGGAATACAAAGAACCAAGTCTTACAATGTACAGAAGCAGTTGACTTACTGCAAAATCAAGGCAAAAATATTCTTTTCAAAACCAAATATTACTTATGTACATATTAAAAATATAATTTCAAAGTTTGCATATGAAAACAACAATCTTCTCAGAAAGCCAAGTTTATTCCCTGTTTTCTGTGTTGATGTTCAAATTATTTCTAGCTATACTTTGAATAAAAAATTAAAAGTTTTTGTACAAAGTTAAATTATCAAAATTTATGTTTAAGAAAAACTTTGGACCCAGAAGGACCCAAACGTAGGTTCTGAAAACTGACTTGTAATTATTTCATATGTACTAAGTATTGGCGACTTTTTTAAAACAAAATGATTGGATGGATTTTCCAGTCAGATTTTCGGTAACAGCAGAAACTTGAGCGTTTCTCAATACAATCAACGAGTAATATAAACAGTTCTTTGTTATTAGGGAAAAGTAAGGGGGCAGAAAGACCCCCCCCCCCAAAAAAAAGGACTGTGAAAAAAGTTCTGATCGGTAAATATATTATGTTATTTCCTGATGATTTTCTGAATGCTGAACCCACAATTGCCAAAAAAGATTTATGATTTAAAATTTCTTTATAAATTTGAAAAATTAGTGAGATTTATAAAGCCATATACATGTATATTGAATAAGTAAATTTCATTTGGATATATATTCAGTCTGTAAAACTTCTGAAAAGTATTTTCGATCTCTGGAAAAGGCCGAGTTGGGAATCTCTCTCTCTCCCCCTATCTCTCTCTCATGATAAGGAAGTAATTTCTTTTATATATGATATTCTTCCGAGGATATTTAAAGTTATTGAGCGTGGTTTATATTTTTAATGCTATACGTCAGGGAAAGGACAAAGAGTAGGTTTTTCAAAAATTGTGAAAAGAGGCACATTAAGGTTCACTGATATTCTGATAAGAGAGATAACTCATAATGGCATAAATGTCTATTATTCCTTTATAGATTTGTCAAGATGAAATGTATTTTTATGCCCCCCTTATCGAAGATTCGGGCGTATATAGTTTTTGCCCTGTCCGTCCGTCTGTCTAGCTGTCTGTTTTTCTGTTTGTCCGCAAAAACTTTAACATTGCCCATAACTTTTGATTGGTTGAAGCTATGGCTTTCATATTTCACATGTGTATTCTTTGTGACAAGACCTTTCTTCGGGTTCCACCATATTTGACCTTTTGACCTTGACCTTGGAGTTTGACCCAGCTTTGCAAAATTTTACCCAACTTTAACCTTGGCCATAATTTTTGAACAATTGGTGTTAGGGCTTTTCATACTTCACATGTGTAATCCTGTGACAAGACCAACAACTTTGACCTCTTGAACTTGATGTTGACCTACTTTTGAAAAACTTTAAACTTGGCCATAACTTGTGAACGGTTGACTGTAGTGCTTTCATATTTCACAAATGTAATCCTTGTGACAAGACCTTCCTTTGGATACCAACAACTTTGACCCTTTGACCTTGACCTTCGAGTTTGACCTACTTTTGGAAAACTTTAACCTTGGCCACATCTATTGAACTGTTGGTGCTAGGGCTTTCATACTTCACATATATGATCCTTGTGACAAGACCTTCCTTTGAATACCAACAACTTTGACCCTTTGACTTTGACCTTGGAGTTTGACCTACTTTTGGAAAACTTTAACCTTGGCCATATCTATTGAACCGTTGGTGCTAGGGCTTTCATACTTCACATATATAATCCTTGTGACGAGACCTTCCTTTGGATACCAACAATTGTAATCAATTGACCTTGACCTTGGAGTTTGACCTTCTTTTGAAAAACTTAAACCTTGGTCATAACTTTTGAACGATTGGTGCTTCAGCTTTCATATTTCTCCAGTATATTTCTTGTGAAAAGGCCTTTCCTTAGGCATCATTAATTTTGACATTTGACCTTGACCTGGATTTTTGACTTACATTTAAAGAAACTTTAACCTTTTCCATATCTATTCAATGGTAGCTGGTAGGGCTCTCATATTTCACAGGTATATTCCTCAACACAAGACCTTACTTTGGGTACCAACTATTTCATTTGCATTTGAGAAAGTTTAACCTTTGCTATAAGTTGCCATATGGGGGCATCAGTGTTTCACAAACACATCTCGTTTTGTTTAATTTTGAACCGCAAGCTATGATAGAATTGTTCATTTTTTTTTTTAATAAAATGCAATTCTTTCGGAAAATCATAAACGTTAATGCAACATTTTATATGAGTGGGCGGAGGGTTTATGAACCTTAAAAGAAAAATACAATGTATTATAAAATGAAGGGAAATAATCATGATAGACAATTGATTGAATAAAAATCATTTCTGAAATTCACTTTAATTGGTGACACGATTATGTAAGAAGGATGGCTAAGACTCTGAGTACTTAGCTTGATCGTGATTATAAGATGTTTTGACTTTAACGTTATTTGTATACCGTAAGAATAAGGGGATGACCGCCCCCCTCTCTCTCTCATATGAACAATAACCAATCCATATTGTACCGGTAGACGAAGAACTTTAATTATGGGTTTAAAAAGAATTGCAATGATATCGATGTTAACTAAGGTTGCGATTAATTCTTCTAATTTTCTTTTGTTATCGAAGGAAGCGCTGCACGCAAACTCGATACGTGATATCAAGGGAAATATTTTGTTTCACAAAAATATTTGGTTCCATTAAAAAATCTTTCTTTACATAATTAATCAAATGTAATTAATGCTCCTAGTATCGGACGTTATTTTTTTTTTATCTCTCTGGATTCTTTGCGGCTAATTTGAAGCAGAGCAGGTGCTCCATATTATATATATTTTGGTTTATTGTTTTTCAAGGAGAAAGCTATGCCTTATGTTACATTGTAAGTATTACATAAGGAAAAAACTAATGGAAATTTAAAAATCGAAGAAAAGGTAACAAAGTCGAAAGAATTTTTATTTTTCTATGCACGTTCTTGTATATATTGCTTTCTTCCTTCGTGTTCCTGCTTTCTCCTTTAATATGTTTTGTTACAAGTACTCTTAAAGTTTGATAAATGTTAATATGCCTGCTTTGAATATCATTTCACAATTATATTTTTAAAAATTTAATAAGGACTCATTCTTCCGTTGTTGACACTTTAAAAAATGTTTCCGAAAGTTCCCATTCAATTTTGTGTCTTTTACACATTTTGTTTACGAAAACAAAACACTCAACGGTATGGTTTCCTTTTGAGTCAATATCAAAATTAGTTGGAATATTTTATGATTTGTTTCATAAATAATTTGATGTGCACATGATCTTTTTTACCAAACTGTTGTGAAATTTTAGTATAAATAATCTTTACAATGAATAATGTGACAATGTGCAAAATTTACGTTTTGGTTCTTCGCAATACATTTGATATAAAGTATATTATTTTTTTTTTCAAACCTATTGATTTTATTTCACTAGCTACATAGTAAAATTTCATAATTCTTAACTACACAAAGTTTATAAAGAAATATTCTTTACTACAGCTTAGATTCCATTCTTGGACCTGTTGGAGTGTACGAGGGTCTGCGATCAGTCCGCGATGACAACTTTATAGACCGGATGAGTCACTATTATACTAACATATTCCTGCTCTTTTTTGTCATTGTCGTGGCCACTGAGGACTACGCTGAACCCATACACTGTTGGTGTCCCGACGAATTCACGGACAACGAGATATTATATACACAACAATTATGTTGGGTTTCAAACACCTACCGGATACCATTCTCAGAACCGATTCCCCCTCAGTTTGAACCCAGAAATAATGACGAAGTGACGTATTATCAATGGGTTCCTTTAATACTCTTGTTAATGGGAGCATTTTTCACATTTCCTCGGCAAGTGTGGAGATACTGTTCGCAAAGGTCTGGAGTAGGGATCAAGAAAATGTTGTCTATGGTAGAAGAGTCCATTAAGGACACACCGACTGAAAGAGAAAAGAAAGTCAATATGGTGGCGGAGTACATTGACAGTTGGTGCTCAAACGTGAATCCTTTTCGCGGTGGAATATATTCTGGAATTCGGGAAAAATATGGACGGTATTGTAGTTTGGGTTTCGGGCGACACTATGGGAACTATCTAGTAACATTATGTGTGTTTGTAAAGTTTCTTTACTTTTTAAATGCTGTTGCTCAGTTATATTTTCTGAATGAGTTTCTCGGAGGCAAAGATTTCTGGGTCTATGGATATGAAGTAATATACAAAATTATTTTGGAGAATAACTGGGGTTCATCCTCTCGGTTTCCAAAAGTTACTCTTTGTGACTTCGATTTACGACAACTTGAAAACGTTCAGCGATGGACTCTGCAATGTGTGCTTCCGGTGAACTTGTACAACGAAAAAATCTTTATTTTTCTGTGGTTTTGGATTTCTCTCGTCGCCTTTCTCAGCTTCTGTAACCTTATTTACAGCTTATTTTTGGTCTTCTATCCACGTCATAGAACAACATTTACCAAAAAATATCTAAAAATGGAAGACGTTTACGACAAAGGAAATTATTTGTCAAGGAAAATGGTTCGAAAGTTTGCAGACAGCCACTTGCGACAGGACGGCATCTTCCTTTTGAAGATGATAGCTTTTAATACAAATACTGTTTTCGTGTCTCAGATTATCAAAATTATTTGGGAAAAATATCGTGAACGCGTTCATGAAGTTGGAAGAACAGTTGAAAATGAATTTTACGAAGGAAAGCGGGCAACTACGAGGTATATTCCAGAGCCAAATTATGGTCACTTAACAGATGGTTATGAAAGTGAAGTTTGATGAAATTTCTCTGCTGAATTTTAAAAAATGAAATTTAAGTATTATTTTTTTCATTCATAAAGCACAATTCATTTTCATATTCTTATACAAAATCTTACATTCCAGATTCGGTTTATGTAAAAAGAGGTAAAATCCACTAATAAAACTAAACTTACAATGTATATATTTACATTTTTCTATATATTCAAGGTTAAATTTAAAAATCCTTCTTACTTCCTTTAGATATCTTAAGAATATTTTATGATATTCTTATTAAACTCGTAATGAATATCGGAGCTATATGAAAACATTTCCATCTTTATCATCCTCTCTAACGGTCTTTTAATGTCATTTGTATCAATGTAAACATTTTTTTTTTCGAACGCGTGTTGTATGCTTTAAGAAGGATAATAATAAACATGTATAAAGCAATAGCTGTTTTCTAGTTCTTTATTGACAGTCTATTTATATTTTCAAAAATCAGGCAATTAAATAAAAGAAAATCTGAAAAAAGTTGTTTTCAACAATCAGAACACCCAGTCACAATGTTCAGAGCAATATTACTTGAAAAGCATGATCAAAAGGAATATTACTAGTTCATTCAAAGTATTGAGTTTAAAAACGTGTTTGACTGCGCACACCATTTTATTTGCCTGGTTCTTATTCATAATGACACTAATCACTATACTCCTTGTATACTATATATCTTCATTAAACAGTGAACTAATTTGTTAACTTATTTATTTAATATCATATATTTCACCATAAACTTTGGATATATACTGTGTTCTATCCCAAGTATCGTTTTTCTATCAGAAAAAGAGATAATGTTACTGTTATTCCATAAGATTATTTGAAGCTACTCCTTTGGTGTATTGTTCGAAACTCAATAAGTTTGCCTGCGCTGAAGTCCAAATTCTGTGTTGGTTAAAGATATCAGTTGAAAAGTTGTAAGATCTGTAGAAAAATTACTATGTGAGGGCATAGGCACTGACCAATCAAAAGGAATATCATCAGTTCATTCAAAGTTTTGAGTTTAAAAGGTTTCTTTGGTTTGGCTTCCAACAAAGTGAAGAAAAAAAACTTATGCTCACCGTTTAGATTTCATTGTACAAATTGTTACTACAAGGTTAAATACTCTGCGATCTGAATTCAGTTATAAAGTATACAGTTATTTGCTTTCATAGTATATTTCTCGAGGAGAAAACATACATATATATAAAATCACAGAAACTATCCTGTGCAAAACTTACTTTTATGGCAATGTAAACATAAGGATCAACTTATGGGGTTCTGTTCTTACATTTTAGGATATTTTCATGGATCAAAACAAAAACAACCTCCGTTTTTTATGCTGCTCAATATTGTTAAAAATATAGAAAAGTAAACTTTTTATGGAAGTACATGCGTATTCGCGACAACAATCTTAAAAAAATAAATCTTAATGTATCTACGGTAACTTAGTCTTTCTGACAGTTAAAAAGAATTTAAGGATATGGTAACCGTTGCTTCTTTAAATTCTTTAGGGGTGTGTTTCTCCTGAAATACGATCTGGTTGATTTATAGGCTCACTTCAGGAAAATGAAAAAGTGACACAAACATAATTTTGTGTATTTGGATATGAAGTAGAGCTTTAATTGGGGGGGGGGGGGGTTACTAGCATTGCAAAGAGCTCTACATTTGGGTTGAATTTAGCCAAAGATTTATAATTTTCAAAAACCAATACATGTATTTTTGAAGATAAACATTTACTGTATCAATGTCACAAAAAACTACCATTTTTTAAATGCATGGAGCAAAGGTTTTGCGATGATTAAATATATAGCTTTTACAACATCAAGAACCAAGCTACAAGGAGCTCAGCTACATATTGAAGCATGTAAATGATTTAGGTTAAAAATAAAATGCACGTATAGTTTAAATATAATTTAGACAAAACTGACACTGCCCTCAATTTTGGTTAAGTATAAATTCCGTTTTAATTCCTCTTTTATTCTAACTACATGTAGAACAAAGTTTAACACATGTATGAAATATGCTCATGTATTCATGAAATTCTGATATCTGAATTCCATTCTATATGAACAATTTATTCATGCAAAGAAAAATTTAGAAGTTATTCCGTCATAGATCTAGAGTGTATACATGTCATACATGTATCTTAATAGAAATATAACACTGACAATAGCCACTGGCGATAAGAAACATGTCCATAATAGTAATTACGTCGCCTCTCTGCCATATATGTATGCTATATAAAAAAAATATTTATATTTGCTTCAAAATTGGTATCACTGATTTTTTTTTCTCATTTTGTTTAAAATATATAATCTACATTTAATTAACTGACCGACACAAAGAGCTAAAAAAGAACCAAGGATCTGAAGTTTAAGACGACAAACAATCTGCGAAGTTGCGGCGTACTCCTATAATAATCTACATGTAGCTTCTTGGAGGTCAGGGTTGGTGGACAATTTGAGGGCGGGAGTCCTGCTCTCATGTGACCTATGTCGATCGGACGTCCGCACTAAGCAAGGCATCAATATGGTCACCTCGGGGGAGCTCAGGGTGTCCAGGTTGTCTAAGGAGGGACGTACAGGCCTAGGGTGGAAACACAGCAGGCAGAAGTCCCCGTGTTCTGCAGTAGTGGGATCGCGGCCGTGAATAGGCACATGTTGGCAGCCCGTCCAATACAACTGAACCTAACTCCTTTTTTTATAATTATGTTCACAACATATCGAAAAATTAATGAGTATATCAAGGATTTTAAAAGAAGAATTTTAATGAATGACTGTACTAAATATAACCATTTGTAAATGCATGTTAATTTGCTTTTTAATATTTAATTATGATAATTTAATATTTATCAAATTTCTCAATTTCATGGAGCAATTTACTAAGGGTTTCACAGATAACATATGCGAAGTTATTTTGAGCATTCCTTATCTACTCTGCTAGAGCACAATGCCTTAACCCTCAGACATTTTTTTTAGTTTCCCAAGCATGTAATACACTATAATGTACATCTACATCCACGTGCACGAACCAACTTGACTACCATTCCTCAATTCCCGGGTATTGAGATGTGCTTGTGATGATTTTTTAAGCGTTTAGGACTTTATGATCATGAAACAGGCACGTAGTATCGTATTTGAAAGGGGACAGCCGGATTAATAATTAACAGCTTACCTTAAAATCTCTGACAACCCAAAAAAGGAACATTGTCCAAATTAGAAAATCTTATGTCAGGGTATGGGGGGTTGTGGTCAGGACTTAGGTTCCAATTTTTTTGACAAAAAAAAAATTATGAATATATACGTTAACATGAAGAATTTCACTATACTACGAAAAAGTGAGGGGCCAACCGGCCTTTCAAAAACCATTTTCAAACTAAAATAACAGTAAAAACACAGTATGTTTGTAAATAAGATATAACTGATCCCGCCCAAAGTGTGACGTTTATATGCTGTCAAATATATCTCTTCGACAGGTCCAATATCTCGCTCTGCAGTCTAACATAGATTTTGTTGGACCGCTCGGTAAAACATTGGAAATACTACTAGACTTTTTTCAATAAAGATTTATATAGAAAACAATTTTTAAAGGTATATCAATCTTTATCTTTGATTTTGATAATACAGACAGAGACGGCTAGGTTTGAAACAGGATTTGTAGTACACATTGTCTGAATAGAATTGATCTAAAAATTAGACTTGAACCACAGGGGCATCTGATATGCTCTTTTCTCTACTACACATATAAAAATACACAATGGAAGAATCGAAAGTAGGACACGGTTTGTAATCATAGTCAAAAAACAACTTACTTGAGAAAAGTTATACAAATCCTTAAATGCACTAGCGCAAAAGAAGTAAACAAGTGAAGATAATGAACAGTGATCAAACTCAAAAAACCTATAAACAATACAAATCTGTGAACAGGACATACATGTAAAACACAGACGAAAATTCTAAAATTTGAATTAGGTGCCTAAGGAGAGTAAGCATCCCCTGTCGTCCGATCTCATCCACCATTAGCCATATGTATTGATCTGATGGATGAAAGTTTGAGACAATGAACAGTAATCAAGCTCGAAAGTCCATTGAAACAATACAAATCGCAAACAGAGCAAACACGGACCTCTAAAAAACATGAGAGGTGGGATCAGGTGCCATGGAGGAGTAATCATCCCCTGTTTACGGGTCATACCCATCGTGAGCTCATTGTCATGATCGAGCAAACGGAAAAATTCCGTGGACAATTCAGTGTTTAAATGATGACCTAAAGTTAGTATGAGAAAAGTGCCAGCATTCGACTTAATGATAGATTGTATTTGCTCGACCAGTGATCGTTATGAATGTAAGTAACTATTGTTAATCGTCAATATATCTAAATGTCAAGTTGAAGGCCACAGCAAGTGTCTTCTTCTTCTCATTTATGTTTTTGAATAAATTCTGCTTCATATGAATTCAAAATATAGGTCTCCTATAACAGGGCGCAATTGTTACTCAAGGGAATTCCGACAGATTGTTGGAAAACCTGATCTCCAAAAAACTACAAAGATATTGTCAATCAGAAACTCAAGCATCTTTTTAATATCTACTTCAGAGTACTTGCGTGTACAGAATGTTTTTTAACAAAATTAATAAATAGATGTATGTGTTAGCTGTTCGCATGCATTGTAAGCAGATGCTTCTTTATTAAATATCAAATGTACACTGGCATTTCAATTTAACATAGTTGAAATAGTATTATTTTCATCATTTAATATGGACAAAAGTCCGACAAATCCGACTTCAAATTACAAAATTTGTATCTTAATTATTCCTCGTGTGATCTTTTGTCAATCATTCTACAGTTTTTACCATTTTTTTTTATTTTTGGTTTCATCTATTTATTTATTTATTTTTTATTTATTGCGATATAATAAAAGATCGTATTTAAATAATAATAAAAAAAATTGTCTGTTTAAAGTGTTAGCTCTTATCTCTAACCTACTACAATAATAGAATGATCCAACA